CATTGCCACCTCACCAATGTGTAAAATCGTTGTGTATTTTGCACAACCCTTTTACACAGCCACATCAACATATTTTCTCTCTCCTTCCTCTTTCTCATTCCATTAACGAATCAACCCTATGTTAAGTAGGTTTGTAAAAGTTATGTAGGGTCTTGGGCATAACATGTGGTTAGTTGTTATTAGCTGATATATTTTTACACAAACGGTATAAAACAATAGCTGGAGCTAAAAATAATTAGTCCAAATTTTTTGTGTAAATCTACTATGACACATCAGATTTACACAAAAAAATATAGACCACCAATGGAGCTGCTCTAAGAGAACATAAATACTGGTTTTGAGTTTTGAAGGGAAGAGTTGATTTGCATTACATAGGATCTAAAAAAGCAGTTCATGAATTCCTGTATATAGGATTGCAGAAGTTAAACAGCTCTGCTTAGCAGGACGTGTTTTCAACAAGGTAACCGTTATATGTGTACAATGGTCGCTGTGAGGGTTTTTACGGTCAAAAGTATAAATTAGAGTTTTGTTCCTGAACCATCTGCCAACTAAGGTTTCAGTGATTTTCACAGTGGTGGAAAGGTTTAAGAATTACAAAATTGGGCAAGAAAAAGAGGATTATAAGTGTCTGCTGTAGATGCTTGCCTCTTAGTCTCTATAATCTATGTTGAGGTTACAGATGGAACAGAACAGGTTTTAGATAGGGTAGCCCCTAGACACTGTTCAAGAAAACAAGGTCATATGGAATAAATATATAAGCAGCAGGATTACCGTATGGCCCGTATTAATTAAAAAATTAACCTTTTTTGTATATAAAAAAACAATTACTTATTTTTATTCGCGTATCCTAGTCATACTCGTATCTCTCTTTTATTTTCTTTTCCTTTTTTTTTTTTTTGGGGGGGGGGATTAAACGCGCACTCAAAAGCGAGCGACCCCAAGGAACAACTGTACAAAAGAGAACATCTCTATATCTACACAATCTCAAACTATCCAAAAAAATTAAGAAAATCCTCCAAAGATATACAAGATCTCCCGGTAACCAAAAAAAGAGCAAGCTCAAAGTATAATTCTTTAACACCCATATCGGCTCTTCAACAACCTCAAAAGACCTCCTTTGGAGGATTGTACCACACTGTATTTGGTGGTGTATATGGAGAGAGAGAAATAACAGAAATTTTGAAGGAAATGAATCGTCTCTAGCAAATTAAAATTTCATATTCTTCGTTCTCTTTTCTGTTATGTAAGAGGAAGCGCTTGCTCCTCGATTCATGATTTTTTTTTATCTATTGGACTCTATTGGTCCTTTTTGTGTTTTGTGTATTAGGGACGCCCCTTTTGAACGCTTTTCTAATATATTTTACTTATCAAAAAAAAAAAAAAAAAAAAAAAAAAGAACTCCTATTTCTTTCTTGCAAAGCCCCCACCAAATATACAGGAGTCCGGCCCTCGAAGATTCTCAGGCTTGGCCTTCCATTGTACACCCCTTCCACGCTGCAAGAACTCTGATATTAGACTCCAGCACAACCCAATGTACTCTAAATATCGAAAAGAACACAGCACATACGTCTATAACCACTAATCAATGTAAGAGAAGATGATTCCCAGACTCCTCGACAATTTTTTTTTTTTTTTGATAAGTAAGATTTCATTAAAGGCGCCCAAAAGGGGAGCGCTCCCAAAGAAAACAGAAGTTGTTCATGACAACACTATAACTTTAAGCTATCCACAAAATCCAAAAGATGATCCATAGAATTACAATCCCGCCCATTGACCTAAAAGAATAAAGAAGATAGAATATTGTATATAACATACCAAATAGGAGATTCCTCTCCCTCAAAGGATCTCTTATTCCTCTCATGCCACAATCCCCACTAAATACATAGGGGAGTAGCCCTCTTAGACATACAAAACACCAGTTGATGACAATCTGCTGCCTCTTCCTCTAATTATTATAGTCAAGAGCCATTGTCCACCCAAAGAAAGCCATCTTTAGAGGGGCTTTAAATTTTCAAATCATTTTCCACTGGAAGGTGGACACCTAGTGCTTGAATGAATATGATAAAGACTTCACCAGAAAGCTTCCATGCCTAGAGCCCACCCATCTCCACTTGTCTTCACCCTCCCCAAGAACATCTTGCTTGTACAACAACTCCAAAAACAACTATAAGATCCTCCATTTCCTAGTCCCAAATTTGACGCCAAAACTAGACATGCCATGTCACCCTCCTGTTATCAAGGTGATAACAGGCGACTACCATGACCTGTTTGTCCACCACAATCCTAAACAATCTTGGGAATAGTTGCACAAGAGGCCTGTCTCCACACCACACATTCAGACAAAACCTAATATATTTCCAACTTCTTACCTCAAACCTAATATGCTTTGAAAATTCCTTTTAACCCTTTTTAATGTGTTTCCACACTCCCACCCTGCCGAATGAGCCGCCTCTCTGAAACACCACCCCTCACTCTTCTCTCCAATCTTCGTCTCCAACAATTTTCCTCCACAGCCGGTTCCGCACCATACCAAATCTCCATAGCCATTTCCCCATCAAGGCATAGGTTAAACGAGGCATTGGGTATCTAAAATTTTAAATCATTTACTCGGGCTTGACTGAGCATGTGAACACTTCACAATTTCATATTTATATTTAGCTTTCCACATGTATCACATGTCAGCCCACATATAATGGCAGCGACAAAAAAATGAGCAGGTCGATATGCCTCTTTAGAAAGAAATTAAAGCATCCAGCCTTGCTATTAGTGTGATGTTTTAGTTGGTTTTAGTTACTTTCTCAGGTTAAACAGAGTGTTTTTTAGTGAAACGGAGGTGAATACGCTAATCAATGTTGTTTTGAATCAGTACAACTAAATTGGTTTCGTTCCACATCAGAAATAGTATTTATATATACATATATATATTTATAAGTAAATATTCATTGAAAGGCACCCAAAAGGGGGGCACAGCCCAGAACAACTACACTAACCAAAAAATATAGCCTCAAGTTATCTACAAAGACTAATGAATCTCCATAGATTTACAATTTGACCCCTGTACCCAAAAGAATAACTAAGCACAGAAAATCAAACACACCCCAAGGAGACTTACCCCATCAAAAGATCTCCTATTTCTTTCCCTCCATAAGGCACACAAAGAAACGAGGGGCAGCCCTCCACACATACCTGTTTCAGTTAGACGTTAAAAATGCTTTTTTGCATGGTGACTTAGCAGAAGAGGTTTATATGGAGCAACCACCTAGGTTTGTTGCTCAAGGGGAGTATCTTCACACTGTTTGTCGCCTTAAAAAGGCCCTATATGGATTGAAACAATCTCCACGGGCTTCGTTTGGAAAATTCTCTGAGGCGACATTAAAATTTGGTCTTAACAGATGTCAGACTGACCATTCGGTATTTCACCAGCGCACTAAAGCTGGCTTCATCTTTCTTGTGGTATGTATAGATGATATTGTGATCACAGGTGATGATTCTGAAGGCATTGCTAAGTTGAAGTTATTTCTGCAATATTGATTCCACACTAAAGACTTGGGTAAACTTAGGTATTTTTTGGGTATTGAAGTTGTTAGATCCAAGAAGGGTATAATTTTATCCCAACGAAAATATGTGTTGGATTTATTAGAAGAAACAGGTATGTTGGGTGGTCGCCCGGTTGATGCTCCTATGGATTCGAATACAAAACTTGTGTCTGATGAAGGTGATCTATTTAATGATCCGGGCAGATTTCGTCATCTTGTTGGAAAATTAATTTATCTCACTATCACTCGACCTGATATTTCATATGCAGTTAGTGTTGTAAGTCCGTTCATGGGAGCTCCTAGAATGCCACATTGGATTGCTGTTCTTCGGATTATCCGATATCTCAAGCAAGCTCTAGGTGTTGGGTTACTATATAAATCAAATGGTCATCTCAGAGTGGAAGGTTTTACAGATGCCGACTAGGCTGGTTCTCCTTCAGAAAGGAGATCTACCACAGGCTACTGCACATTTGTAGGAGGAAATCTTGTTACATGGCAAAGTAAAAAGCAAACGGTGATAGCTCGATCTAGTGCTGAAGCTGAGTATAGGGCAATGGCCCATACTACTAGTGAGTTGACCTGGATACAACATTTTCTAAAAGAACTTGGGTTGACAGTTGAAGCTCCTACTCCATTGTTCTGTGATAATCAAGCAGCAGCAGTTCATATTGCCTCAAATCCTGTGTTTCATGAGAGGACCAAACATATTGAAGTTGATTGTCACTTTATTCGAGAAAAGATATTGCGTAGGAGCATCTCTACTCCATTCGTGAAGTCTGAAGATCAATTAGCTGATATGTTTACTAAAGCATTGGGTCATAACCGGTTAAGAACTATCTGTTCCAAATTGGGATTATTTGATATATATTCTCCAGCTTGAGGGGGAGTGTTAGAATGTGTTATATATATATATATATATATATATGTTGGGCCATTATGTAATTACATTATGTTAGTAGGGCCCTCGTGTTATTAAGGTGACTTGTATCCCTTATATAAGCCTATATAGGCTTATTAGGTTTGTAAGTGTGTATGTGTGAAATATAGAACAAGCTCTCTCTCCTCCTCTCTGTGTCTCTCGTGATAAACAACAGCTTCTATCATTGCACCAATTGGTCCCTTATTCCTAGTTCATATGGCCAAGCAGTTGGATTATTATTCTGAGGATTGTCAATACTCTTATTCTGAAACATAGTTAAAACAGCCATATCATTACACTTCTCAACATTTGCTTCTATCATTGCACCAAGCAATGGTCCCTTATTAGAAACCAAACTATATCACAAACAAATGAAGAAAGGGAAAAAATTGAGATGTCTATGCACTATATTTGAAGATCAGACTAAACCGGATGCTAAGATGTTATAGGTGGTGTCAAGAACTACCAGAAATTAACAAGATAAGAAGGTAAGGATGCAATAACATGGCGGGCCATAAGACCACTCAACAAAAAAATTAACATACCATATGTGGGCCTGCCAGGAATTTGAGACAGTTTATGTACTGCTGAACACCATTGTCTGACGGTTTTTCATCTTGTGATGAAGAGATATTTGAATCAGTTCCACCATTCAGTTGTTGAACAATAGCATCATCCAAAAAGTCAAGTAAATTACCACCCTCACTTGCAACATTTCCAATCTCTGGTTGTAAAATGGTTTCTGGAAGTGTGTCTCCTCCAGTCAGAAGGTCTATCCATGGGTTGGTAGATGCATCTGGGTGCACTTGTGGCAAAACTTTTTCATCGGATAAAGAAGCACCAAAGGGATTGGCATCGGCACCAGACAAAAATGGGTTGGTGGTTTCCGTCCGTAAATTATTGGCATGTTCACATAATTTTGCACCAATGCCTTCTTGACTAAATACACCCCTCCATGGAAGAGAAACTCCAAGAACCTCTACCTGTGACAGAATTTACAACAAAATCATTACTAAGTAGCAATTACAGGCTAACAGCAAATACCTTTCATCACCCACCATCAACCTTCAACAAATAAATAAATAAAAAGAACAAAACAAAACAAAAGAGCCGATTAAATGGATACACCAACAACAGTCCCCAGATAGATGTTGTCTACTGATGGTAATTTCTGATCATGGACAAATATTATTAGGATAGTCTATCGGATATAGGGAAAACGCACGAAGGTCGTAAATAAATGCATAGGAATCTCTCTGTATGAGTATGCCTGATTGAACATAGTACATGTATCTATATTCACACACACACAAAGGGTGAGGAGGAGAGAAAAAGTACAGGGAGTTATTAAGAAGTCGTGCCCATGTAAGACGCCTGCATTTCTCATATACTCTACATAAATATCGCTGACACTTTTTGGACTCTCCAACATGTGATGGACAAACCTTAGACATTGGGATATGATTTTCTTTTAGCATGAAAACTATATCATTTAAAATATAATTTAAACAAAAATTAATTTTTAAATTGATATAAAATTTATTAGAAGTTTGAGTACCTATATCTTATAGAAGATATTTTGTAATAAAGTTTCATCAAACAAGTTTGTATGGGAGGAGAAGAGTCATCATAAATACTAGAGCGCACACACACATACATAACTACATGCAAATGAATTTCTTTGTTATTGTGTCCTTACCACCTTCCTGTCCATCTTTCTTGTCCTGCAGAAGTGGATAACTGACTCCAAATTGTGTGCTTCTACAATAACCCTCAAGTTTTCTTTTTTTTGATAAGTAAAAATAACATTAAAAAAGACGTTCAAAAGGGGCGCACGTCCCAATTACAAAAATGGAACCGGGACTAAGGTCCCAAAGAATCCAAGAAAGTAATTAAATCATCAGAAGAAGAACAAAAACTCCTCTTCACATAATTGAAAAGAGAACAAAGAATATAAAGTTTGACCGTTTTCCCTTCGAACATTGTGCTATTTCTCTCCTTCCAAATGCACCACCATACACAATGTGGTACAATTCTCCAGAAATCACGAACATCTCTTCTCACTCGACATCCTCTCCAAACATGTATTAATTCCTTAGTAGATCGTGGCATAACCCAACACATGCCAAACAACCCAACAATAAGATTCCAACAGTCGTTCGCCACAGGGCAATGCAAAAGGAGGTGATCATCGGACTCCTCATCATCCTTGCATAGACAACACCGATTAACAATACAATTGCCCATTTTTCTCAAATTATCAATTGTCATAATCTTTCCCCATACAGCGATCCAGACGAAGAAAGCCACCCTAGTTGGAGCCATAGACCGCCAAATAATTTTTCACGGGAAGTCTCGATTCACAAAATTAGACAAACATAAAAACAAGGATCTAACTTCGAAATGACCATGGGAAAAAGGAACCCAAATCAAAACGTCATTATTTCTGCCAACGCCCTCCTGCCGATACAGAAGATCCAGAAAAACACATACCTAGTCCATCTCCCAATCCTGAAAAGAGCGCCGAACGTGCACATCCCACGTAATCCCGCTGCCATCAAGCCGATAACAGTCAACTACGTAGGCTTGTTTATCAACAGCAATACTGAATAATCTAGGAAATATACGAGAAAGTGGCTGATCCCCACACTAAAGATCTTCCCAAAACCGAATGCGACGACCATCATGGAGTTTGAATCTGATATGAGCAGAAAAAAACATCCCATCCCTTCCGAATAGCCTTCCACATCCCTACTCCTCCCACCAGGGTAACCGGACTTGTAGACCAACCTCCAACCTCTTCCCTAAACCGACAAGAGACTAACATGCGCCAAGGACGATGTCTTTCCCTCCCATATCTCCATAACCATTTACCCAGGAGAGCTTGATTGAAAGGAACTAAACGTCTTATACCAAGTCCACTCAATTTCATAGGCTTACAAACTTCCTCCCATCTGACAAGGTGGTACTTGAACTCATCGCCCTTTCCTCCCCATAGGAAATCCCTTTGAATTTTTTCAATCATATCTGCAACAGAACGGAACAAGGGATTTGGAACATAGAAAGAAAATAAGTGGGAATGCTCGATAACGTACTTTACCCCCCCCCCCCCCCCCCCGCTTCCCTTTTTTTTTTTTTTTTTTTTTGATAAGTAAAATGTATATAAAAGCGTTCCAAAGGAAAACGCATCCCAAACTATACAAAAGACAAAACGAAACCTATGAGCTCAAAGAGCCCATGAAGTCAACAATATCCTCAAGGGAAGAGTAGTCTCTCCCCTGACCCAAAGGGTACAAATAATAGAAAATTTAAGCACTGCAATGGAGGACTCCTTCCCATTAAAAGATCTACCATTCCGCTCTTTCCAAAGGCTCCACCAAATGCAAAAAGGGGCCACCCTCCAGAAAACTCTCGCCTGAGCCCCCACCCATTGGCCCCTCCAAGAATCCAACAACTCCCGAGAGGTCCGAGACATGACCCAATGAATACCAAACAAGCCAAAAAACAATCATGAGTCATAGGACAATGCAACAGAAGATGATCCACTGACTCCCCATTAGTCTTACAAAGACAACACCAATTAACAATAATATGACTTCGCTTCCTCAAGTTGTCCAAAGTCAAGATCTTACTCCAAGCTGCAGTCCACACAAAAAAGGCCACCCTAAGGGGTGCCTTAGACAACCACACCGTCTTCCATGGGAATGAAGTGCCATGAAAACCAGAAAGGCACACAAAGAAGGATCGAACCTGGAACATCCCCTGAAAAGAAGGCACCAAATCAAAGAGTCTGTACCAGTACCCTCCACCTTCTGCCTGTAAAGGAGAGCCAAAAACCCCGAGACATCATCCAGCTCCCAGTCCTGAAAAGCTCACCGGAAACGCACATCCCACGACAACCTTCCGCTATCAAGGCGATAGCAGTCAGCAACCATAGCATGTTTGTCAACAGCGATCCTGAAAAGCCTGGGGAACAAAAGAGCCAAAGGCCTATCCTCACACCATGGGTCCTCCCAAAACCAGACATTCCTCCTGTCCCGAACTTTGAATCTAATATGTTTGGAAAAGGCATCCCAACCCTTTCCAATGGCCCTCCATACCCCCACTCCATAAGCAAACCTAATTGGTCTAACTGACCACCCTCCTCTCTCTTCCCCAAAGCGACACGAAATAACCCTTCTCCATAATCTGTGTCTTTCACTACCAAATCTCTAAAGCCACTTGCCAAGAAGAGCACTATTGAAGGGGGCCAATCTCCTAATACCAAGCCCTCCCAACCGAAAAGGCCTGCAAACCTGCTCCCATTTGACAAGTATTCCTTCTTCCATCCTGCCAATCTCTTCGCATATCTGTCAATCACGGAATCCCAACTCCCCACTAACCTTGAAGAAACCCCAAGGGGCAAGCCCAAATAAGGAATAGGGAATGAGCTCACCCTGCATCCAAGGACTGCAGCTAAAGAGGAAATATCCTGAACATTCCCTACTGGGACAAGCACACTCTTAGCCACATTGACCTTTAGCATGGAAACTGCCTGAAATCAAGTCAATATACACCTCAAGTATCGAAGTTGAGACACATCAGCATCACAAAAAACCAGGGTATCATCAGCAAAGAGTAAATGAGAAATCTCCATCTGATGGACTAAATCTCTACCCACCCTGAATCCCTTTATAAAACCAAAGTCCTCTGCCCTGCGCATAAGTCTACTTAACCCCTCCATAACAACAAGAAAAAGGAAAGATGACAAAGGATCTCCTTGTCTTATACCCCGAGAACAACCAAAGAAACCATTGGGAGAACCATTCACAAGAACTGAAAAACTTGACAGACGAAAGACAGGTCTCAATCCACTTCCTCCATTTACTTGCAAACACCATTCTTTGTAACAAATAGAGTAGGAAATTCCAATTCACATGATCATATGCTTTCTCAATATCAAGTTTGCATAAAACTGCAGGAATACCACTCCGCAATCTGGAATCCACACATTCGCCAGCAATAAGAACTTAATCAAGAATTTGCCGTCTGCCAACAAAAGCATTCTAGGAGTCCGAAATAATCCCATCCATTACTTCCCTCATCCTTAAAGCAAGTACCTTGGCAAGAAGTTTGTAAATACAGCCCACCAAACTAATTGGACGAAAATCCTTTATATCTGAAGCGCCTCCCTTCTTTAGGATAAGGGCAATGAATGAAGCATTAAGCGACTTCTCAAAAAGCCATAAGAATGAAACTCCTGAAAAGTACCCATTACCTCATTTCTAACAACCGCCCAACTTTCCATCAAAAATCGCATGGTAAAGCCATTAGGCCCCGGAGGTTTGTCCCCATTACAACTTGATAAAGCCTTAAGAACTTCTTCTTCAGTGAAAGGATTCTCAATCCTATCTCTATCAAGCTCAAAAATAGCCTCAAAATGGAGACCATTCAGTGAAAGGATTTTCAATCCTTTATAACCCTCAAGTTACGATGGAAGTTCTATGAGATGAGTATAATGGAAGGGCTTGATGTTGGGGTGTCAGTTAGTTTAACACATATTATCTGCATACAACACCGTACTTTTTTGAAAGGCAGAGGAAGCACAACTCAAGTAATTAGGTTACTCTCTTTTGCTTTGAAGCAATGGCTTTCTTGATGGTTAATTTGGAAAGAGTGAGTTGATTCAAGTGGGAGTGAAGCAATGAACAATATAAGGGACTATTACGTCAATATGACTTAGTTTGACAAATTTGTACAAAATGGAACATGTATGTTGGATTTTTGCATGTCTATGTTTTTGAAAGTTCCAGAATTAGGATTTTCGATTGCTCAATCCAAGGTTGGAAAGATCGAACTCTTTTTTAGGAGTTATGACTAAAATTCCAAAAGGGTATGAGTGATGCTTCGATCTCTCAAAGCAATGAATCAAAACAACTCCAAAGACTTTGATCAATAGTCCAATCGATCAAACCCTCAGGGCACATAGCTTGAAGGCTGCTAGAGTGATTTCGATCGGTTGGAAGTTTCATTGATTGATCAATCAGTTTTAGGTTTTGAATGACTTCTTACAAACCTAAAACACCTACATCTTGACCAACTTTAATGATAATTAATCCTAATTGGAATAGGAAAAGGGTATGGAACTCTACAAATAGAAACTTCCCCAAACACTTCTCATACAAACCTCTCTCTCTCTCTCTCTCTCTCTCTCTCTAGCTCTATTCCACCCTAAAACTCTCAAGCTATCCCAAGGCTCTCACTCTTTACTCCTTCCACGCTCTCTCACTAGTATCCATGGCATTTGCTCTTTAGATTTTTGTTCTAGTAGCATTAGCGGCCGGCATCGGACCTCAAGCCATCATATCAAGTGTTCAACCAAATAGATACTCACAATGTTGACCCAAAAGGCCACGAAGCCGAAATTAACAAGCAAAGGTTAGAGAACCTTTATTTCATTATACAAAGAAATCTCCAATTGATCTTCCTGCTTACAACACTAGACTCGTGATGTTAGCTTGTTTGGAGTCTACAACTTTAAAATCTCTTCCCTACCCAAAGTTTGATGAAAGGGAAGATGTTATGAAGCAAAAAGACACCATCGATTCAACTGAATTAGCAAATACATCTCCTCTCCCCTGTGACCAATGCCAGGCACATATGGGACTTGTTTCATCTAGTGAGAGTGGAGTGAAAAAATCAAGAAGGAAGAAAGCGAGGAAACACCACCACAACTTTCAACAGAAGGATCTACACTATCAATCTATGATGATATCATAAGCCTAAACCAATCAATGACCAATTTTTGGTTTAAGCTGACAAAGGACCAACCAGTGCAGCATACGCCCGATATGATGCCACAGAGACGCGCAAGACTTGTTTAGATGATGATCTCTTTGCCCTCCACCATGACTCACTCAGAGTATATCCGAAACATACATTACAACGTGCATCATCTAGACGAACAATTCCATTGTTTTGGACGTGGAGATGCTGTGTAGAAGTGGTGGTGGTGCAAATTAAGACTAGTTTCATATTTCTATGTTCATTTTGGCTTAGTAATATGATTTAATTTTACTCTTTCTACATTTTTAAGGGGTTCTTAACAATTTTGTAGTCAATAGGACTTAGGTTACCTGTATTGGAACACATTTTTTCCTATTCGGATTGGTTCATGTAATTAATTTCAAGTATTAATGGATCATCTAGTTTATTACATGCTTTTTGTGATATTCGGCCCATTTCATCAATTTCGTGACTAGACCGGGGGAGAAGAAATGAGAAAAAGGAAATTAGCATTGAGAATCTTTTATTTGATTTGCCTATTTATTTATTTATTCATTGATAAGAAAATATTCATTAAAGAGCGCCCAAAAGGAGGACACGGCCTAGAAGAATCGAACAAAAACTATAGCCTCAAGTTATCCACAAAAGACAAAAGAACCTCCATCATGAACCCAAACGAATAAAGAACTAGGATCAAAAAATAACAACCACCAAGGAGACTCCTCCCCATTAAGGATCTCCTATTTCTTTCTCTACGTAAGGCCCACCACAGACAGAGGGGAGTTGTCCTCCATGCATCTCTAACTTGAGGCCACACACAGCAACCACCCCAAGCATCAATCAAACTCAGCGCAGACTTAGTCATGACCCACTGAATCCCAAAAAAAATACACAGCATGTCCCAGCTAAGGAGATGATCCAACGACTCCCAATCCATCTTGCGCAAACAAGACAAATTGACAATAATCTGACGCCCCCTTCTCAAATTGTCAATGGTCCATTCATACTTGAAATTATTAATGGATTATAACAAAGACCAAGGAATCCCTAGGATACCTTCCTCCTGGAGTTTGTCTTGATTTAGTGGGGTAAGACTCACAAGAGTCACTTTAGAAGCTCTTGGGGCCTTTGGAAAAGGGATTGAACTGTATTAGATACGCCAAAGAATCTTTCTTTAATTTTAAGAGTAAAACGTCATACATGGGATGCGGTGTTTCATGTACTCGTCGTCCCGAGTTCAAGAGGACAAGTTAACAAGAATAAATATAAAAAAAGTTATTTAGACCACCTTGCTCAAGCTCTTACAAGATTCAATATTATTGGGGAATATTTGCTAATAGTGTATTGGTGAAAGTATATGTCAGCACTTCTAGTTGGTGGAACAATTAGCTTACAAATTATGGAGAAGGGAGACCATAGCTTGATGGGTCAGATTTAACTCATGTGAAGATAGCAAAGGTGGTTTGATTGGAATGGGCTTTCGAAGACGATGTGTTGGAGGGTTTGAAGTTAAGATCAATTAGTAATAATCTGACACTACCTTCTCAGATTGTCAATGGTCCATTCATACTTGAAATTATTAATGGATTATACCAAAGACCAAGGAATCCCTAGGATACCTTCCTCCTGGAGTTTGTCTTGATTTAGAGGGTTAAGACTCACAAGAGTCAGTTTAGAAGCTCTTGGGGCCTTTGGAAAAGGGATTGAACGGCATTAAATACGCCAAAGAATCATTCTTAATTTTAAGAGTAAAACGTCATATATGGGATACAGTGTTTCATGTACTCGTTGTCCCGAGTTCAAGAGGACAGCTAACAAGAATAAATTTTAAAAAAAAAAAGTTTTTTAGACCACCTTGCTCAAGCTCTTACAAGATTTAATATTAATGGCGAATATTTGCTACTGGTGTATTGGTGAAAGTATAGGTCAGCACTTCTAGTTGGTGGAAGAATTAGCTTACGAATAATGAAGAAAGGAGACCATAGCATGATGGGTCAGATTCAACTCATGTGAAGATAGCAAAGGTGGTTTGATTGGCATGGGCTTTCGAAGAGGATGTGTTGGAGGGTTTGAAGTTAACATCAATTAGTTATAATTTGAATAGTTGAAAGTTGTCAATAAAATCTGTAAGACCTATTCTAGGTTTTAGCGTACTCTATGTATCAGAGCCAACAGTGTCAGTCCAATTTTTCATCTCCCACCTTCATGGGGTGCTGGGAAAGACTGAGTAGTCAGAGTCATCAGACATTATTAAACACAAAGTGGGATTGCTCTTAGACTAGAAGCTAAGTCCTCATGCTCGTATTCCAGAGCTTTAATCATTACACAATTTACACAAAGAAATGACCCTTTTTCCCTTCAATAAGATCCTTAATCCCTGCAAATAGAAAAAATGCAATAGCTAAGCACTTCCAAAGCTAAAACCTGTTAAAAGGGTCATTTGGAATATAGATGTTTACAAAAATTTCAAACTGAATCTAACTATTTTACCCCTGGCTCTTCTATGAGAGTGTTTTCCGTTCATACATCCAAAAAGTGGATGTTTCTTTTCATCTAGCCAAGAAAAACATTCAAGGAATTATCACGGGTGAACATGTTTCCAGGTCGCAAACTCAATTTTATGGCGAATAATAGAATATCCATAAATCTATTTATTGCATTACAAATATGTCCTAACATACCACAAATTAAGCAGCCATTGTATTTAAACAAGAAATTGTCCAGGATGTGGAAGCAAGAAATACCCCTAATAGGCTGAGAAAAGTTGGTTAAGAATAAAGGACTATCATGCATTATATAACATAATTATACAAATTTCTCTGTACCTCACCAAGAGTAATTGGACTTTCAGACACAGCGGGATAAAATGTGAGTGCAACAACACGAGTAAGGAAGTCCAATTCTCCCTCCAGTTCCTCAAAATCATATAATAACGGAAGACTAGACGTATCTTGGGCATGAAGGCGGGAACCTGCTCCAGTGACAGCCATATCCTCTTCACTAATTGGTCCCGGTAAGGGTATCAAAATGTTTGTCCCATTCACACATTGAGGTATAGAAGCTCCCTGTTAATAATACAAAATTTGTGTTAGAATCTATTTGATTTGTATGTGCAATAAAAATATAATTTTCCACAAGAAGATATATACATGACGGTTCTCTACAAACATAAAAGAAAAAAATATATGCAGCATCTAGTTTTAAAGAAGGAAAACACCCACGAAAAACCCCAGCTCAAACATAAAAGAAGAATACGAGCGAGCATATGAGATTTTGTCCAATATAGGTGTCCATCAAATAAAGAGTATTGCACACCAATATCTCGATCCTCCCAAAATTGGGTTAATTTTTAGCACCCAAAGAAGAAAATTACCAGATTAGAACCAGTCTGACATTAGACTATCTTAATATGTTCAAGTTCGCAGTAAAATGTGTTTTTAAATACCTTTTTTTTTTTTTTTTTTTTTTTTTTTTTTTGTTACCGCACTCTTCAAGTCCAATACGACACTTAAAAACTTTGGCTGAATGTAAAAATGACATTTCTCCCCACTGTTAAAGAGCCTCTTTCTTAATATCCAGTTCCATTTTTTTGCTTCGAAGGCAATTGAAACTGAATTCCCTTTGCCTGTTTTACAAATTTAGCTTTAAAAATGAACTTCATGAAATAATTTGGATTACAACACCTAGGCCAACAGAATATCAGAACTTTGCCTAGGGTGATACAGCCACAAAAGTGGGTTCTCCATTTATGGATATTTTCCTTCTTAGACAGAGAGAGAGAGAGATGTGGGATAATAGGAATTTTGATGATTGTGATTAACACACATTTTGATCAATTGCACGGTAGTTCCCACATCCTTGATAATGTTTTAAGTCAATGTATTAATACTCTAAAAATTTATGTTTGTGATTACTAATTTTAAATGCATTTGTCAACTAAAGCATGTATCAAAAATTAAATAATATGTAACTCCAAATCATAAAACATGCAATTATAATGGCATTTCCAGTTTTAAAAATTAAACGAAACTTATTAAAAGCTCAGAAAAAAATCACAACTTTTTAAAATGCTTATAGCTTTTTATGCAAGGCACACAATGCGTAATTGACAGCATGTCCCTTATTAATGAAAAAGTTTTAGAGGAGTCTGTTAGATTACATCGTAATGTATGCAACTTCTGAACATTTTTAAGCATCGCATGTGCTAGCCGGCACACAAGTTTTTCATCAACTTTTGTTGCGGATTTTATTGCATATAAAAGTACAATAGTATATGAAGGGGAAAAGGAAAAAACTACATGGAATAATTAATAATATTCTTTTGGAAAATCATGTTCTCACATTTCTTTATCACATTGATTCCACAAAATGGGTGAAATGATGCACCAAATAAAAAGTTTTGTGGATTTGGTAAGTGACTTTTCAAAACCTTGCTGAAAATTCTGTAATGGTGTTCATTTACACCCATTCAGAAGCCAGCACTCTCACCCATTGTGGTGACTAAATCCATTCAAATGTTCATTTACACTCTTTCAAAATTCAGCATTCTCTCACCCATTGCGGTGAGAAAATTCATTAAAGTTCCCTGTAACAAAATTTTCTCACAAATTTCTTATTCTTTAAATAGTTAAAAGACCAACAAAACTGAAGTACAGAACTATGTTGAAAGAACATATAAACCATATTGGTATAAGCCTCCAAATGGATATTGTAGTTAATTTCAAATGGTGACATCACTATGTGCGATTTCACCACACTAGCGGCGATTTGGGGGCGATTTGTGTGACTGCGATTTTGCTAGGTTTGGGATGAAATCTTTTCTGAAAATTGCAAGATTACCAAGAATCTCGCTTGGAGGGGAAGTGAAGACTGCAGTTCCTCACTGAGGACCGTCATTGTACATTGACGGGGAGTCCGTCGGAGGAAGGAAGTCAGTCTTCTCATCTTGTTTGGTCAGAAGATTTGATAAGGAAGTGGGGGGTTGTGATCGTGTGAAAGAATGGGCAGCGCCGGCTTGGAATACGACTTGTGGAGTGGGGGTAACACCCTTATCCGACTCACTGCTCCTTTTCCGGTTTTCTTCTCAAGCAGAGGCCAAACGCATGTTGAAAGAAGGGCGACGACATTGGGGTTCTGCAACTTTGAAGATCGACGTGTGGTCCTTCCGAGTTGGGCGTTGTCGCGTTCTTAGTGATAAAGGTCTCAAACAGATCAGGCTGTTTGGCCTCCCTTTGCATCTCTGGTGTCATGCTTTGTTCGTCGAAGTGGGAGAGCTTTGTGGTGGGTACGTGAGATCTGATGCGGATGAGACTAGGGATGCCGAAAGCATTCTGATAGCAGTGAGATCCGGCCGTGATTGTCCTAAGTTCATGTTTATTAACAACGACACCTTTTGTTACAAGGTCGCGATCTGGGAAGAAATCTCGCCGAAGCATATTCCTTCAACAGAGTCTTGAAGGTAGTGACGGATCTCATCTTATGTCGGAAGAGAAATGGAATGAGATTCTCAGTAAAGGAAAAGAGGGGGTTCTCGAAATTCAGCAGTGGCTGAAGGATCGTGAAATCTAACAAGCAGTGAAGTTCATAGGACGTAGAAGACGAAGTGATCTCCACGCGCCGGCAAAACACGTTGATGATGAGCAAAGAAGGATTACATGGGAGATCGACGGGGTCCTCTTCCAGATTCTGCCTTATCCTTATCCTTTAATGATAAGGTAGGGGAGGACTTTTCTTTTTGGGCTGAGGATGGCGGTGAAATGGGCCAAATGATGTCAAGACAGGCTAGGAGTCAGACTGGGCCTAGTCTTAATCTTGGGCTCACTCAGCCTAAACCCAACAGAGCGAACTTTGGTTCTGGGCCTTTTCGATGGGTACAGAAAGGACCGCTTAGATTCGGGCCAAGTGGGCGGATTCAGACTGGGCCTATTAGATCTGGGCCTAACAGAAAGGTGCGAAAAGGGCCAAACTCTTTATCTATCTCTTTCCCAAACACCAAACCAGGCTCTAAGCCTTTTAAAGAAGTACAAGCCCATGCTAAGCCTTCGCCTCATTTGCTGAAACCTAAGCGGAGGATGATAGATGTCGGTCGCCATTGATCTCAGTGGACTCAGACTGGAAAACAGAAATGGGTTGCACGACCTCACACTTCATTTTCAGGTTTGAGTTCTGATCATTCTCAAAATGCTCTCTCTACTTCTACTTCTTCTTCTTCAGGTGGAGTGGTGAGTACTAGGGATGTTGTGGAGGATGTTTTGAATCAACAGAGGGGTCTTATTGGGTCTTCAGGTTCATGGTGTGATGGGTCAGAGTTGGATGTCTCAAAAGCCACAACTGAGAGTGTGGGTTGTTTCAATGAAGTGACAGTTTGCGTTGGGAAAGATCTGCACTTCAAACAGAATAATGACTCAGCTATAGCTCTGCTTAAAGAGCTTCAGCTCTTTGCTGCGATTGAAGGTTTGAACAGCCAACCATCTGCAAATGAGGTGATTTTGTCAACTGAACATGATAATTCGGAAACAGAGGGGAATATGCAGTTGGGAGTGGTAGATTTTCCTTCTCAGCAGCACTGTTCTAAAGATTCTTTTTCCTGGACGGAGTTTGATCAATCTGAAGTGGATCTAATGGAACCTCTGGCAGTTGTGCGGCCAGATTGTTTGGAGACGACCAATGATCTGGGTATGGAATGGGTTATCGAGAACATTGGAGCAGCAACTGAAGCTTTGGGTGTCTCTTCAGAAGGTTATGAGGAACAAACCTTGTCTATTCTTCACGAAATTGTTGCAGGAAATGATAGTACTGAACCTAATCGTGGCACAAAAGAAGTCAAAGTCAGAAATTCGCATCGAAAAGGTGAACAGGAAGTGAAGAATCTGATTTCTTGTGTTAATTATGACGGGAAGAATGGGACGACCAAAGAAAGGGGAAGAACCAGAAGTGGTAAATGGGGAGGAGGAGAGTTGATCGTTTTTGGTTCTTCATGAAGCTACGACTTATAACATGGAATGTTCATGGTCTAAATGATCCGTAAAGAAGAAGAGTTGTCAAGGTAGCTTTGAGGAAGTGGAGTGCTCATGTCGTTTGTTTACAGGAAACTAAGATGGCTGCTATCGCTGTTGAGATTGTCAGGAGTCTTTGGGGAGGTGGATTTGTGGAATGGGAAGTGCCAAACGCCTCAAGCACTTCAGGTGGTATTCTTCTCATGTGGGATCAAAGGTGGTTGCCAGTTTGAATTGTTGGAAGGGTATTTTCTCTGTGTCTTGTCTGTTTCAGATGGAGGAAGACAATTTCAGATGAGTGTTTTCAGGTGTTTATGGGCACTGATAGTGATAGACCAGTCCTGTGGGAAGAGCTTTGCTATGTGAAGGATTTATGGTCATTGCCTTGGTGTTTAGGCGAGGATTTTAATTCTGTTAGGTCCCCATTTGAGAGGTCCATAGGGGGCAGGCGGTCCTCTGAAATGACCATGTTTTCATAATTCATTGATAGTCATTTTCTCATTAACCTACCACTGGAAGGAGCAGCCTTTACTTCGTCTAATGGTACGGAACAGTCACTTTTTCCCGGTTGGATAGATTTCTGATTTTTGGGGCGTGGGAAGAGCATTTCCCGGATGTCTCTTAGGCTGTTCTGGTTAGAGTCACATTTGATCATGTGCCTTTAGTTCTTGATTGTGGTGGTTTGAGTTCTAGACGCACTCCTTTCCGCTTTGAAAATATGTGGCTGAGATCTGAGCACTTTCAAGGGAAGGTTCAGTCTTGGAGGGTGGAAGCGAGTTTCACAGGCTCTGCTAATTATGTGTTAGCTAGAAAGTTTCAGTTTCTTAAAATTGAGTTAAAGAGGTGGAATAAATAAGTGTTTGGGAATCTTGAATGGAAGAAGAATAAAGTTCTTACTGATATTACTGAGCTCGATCGTCTTGATGAGGTGGGATAGAATGGGGAGTCATTACGCTTTAGAGAGCCTCTTGCCAAGCGGTTTTTGCTGAGATTGCCCTTATGAAGGAGATTTCGTGGCGCCAGAAGTCTCGGGCTTTGTGGTTAAAAGATGGGGATCGTAATACAAAATT